CGGGGTTTCACCATGTTGACCAGGATGGTCTCGATCTCTTGACCTCGTGATCCACCCGCCTCGGCCTCCCAAAGTGCTGGGATTACAGGCTTGAGCCACCGCGCCCGGCGGAAATAGTTATTTTTGTATTTTTCTGAAACTTTCAAACTTCTCAGTTTAAAATAAACTTGTAAACTTCATGCATGGTAGAGCAGGGTAGATACGGATGGGGCACTGTGAAGCGGCAGAAAGCACAGATGCAGCCAGACCTAACTGTGGTCTGATTATTTATTGATATCTCAAAAAGGGAAAAAAAAATGTGCCACTCAGAAAGGAAGAGGGCTGGTTATAGCAGTTTAAAGAAAAAAATTCAGAGATGCATGTTGGCAGCATCTGTTCTGGAGTGGGAGTGAGCCCTTTCTACAGAGCTTGACCTGTCCAGTACTTGTGACAGAAAGGTCTCCATTGGACTGCCTGTTTGAGTTAAGATATGAATTGCTATTTGAGTTAAGAAAACAAGTCTCCTTGGTTTAATTCTGTGCTTACCAGGTAACATTTTGATCCACTGTAAGAAGAGATTATGCAAGCCTTGGAGACGGGTATATTCTAGTTCTCATGACAATGATATTTTTCATTATAAATTAATAACTTGCTCTTTTGATTCAAACAAGTCTCTAGAACTTAAGGAGGCTGTTCCTCAGAGGGGCTCCACTTGCTCTGTGCTGACTGAGCAGACAGCACCCCCCGAAAGCCTCCTGGCCATGGGGCATGCCCTTCCCACAGCACCTTGACCAGGACAGTCTTCTTGAAATGCCCGTACCCTGTGGCCCTGCCCAGTGGTGTTTGTAGCATTAATACAGATCTCACCTTGTAAATTCCCTGCCTTGACAAACAGTGTCCCAGTTAGGTACTACTCTTTAGATTTCCTAAGAGTGAAGTTAGATCACTTGGTTGTTCATGGGCTTCAGCATTCTGCAGTGTAGCATGTTTGGGTCTGCTTAGCTGCTTTCTGTTCGGTCTACTGTTGAATGAATTCCAAAGCCCCAGCTAGGTAACTGGTAAGCACAACATGGATGACATTGTTCTGTCTTTCTATACTTTACAGCCTGATTTAGCAGCTAACGAAGCCCAGCTTCTGAGGAAAATTCAATTGTTGTGCCTCATGGAGGTGAGCAAGCACCCAGGAGCCACTTTGTCTGTGGTTTAAGATTTTGGTCAGGTAGGGCGCTGCTCTCCAAGCCTGTCCTCAGCCTGAGCTTTCAGTGGTGGTACGACTCTCTTCACCACCTTTCTTTTCCTTTGCCACCACCTGCTTTTGTAAGTCGATACTTGGGTCTTAGCTCAGACAACACCCCCTCACCCACCACTGCTCCCCCGAGGCCTTCTCTGACCATCTGAGTTGAAATGAAGTAGCTGCCCCCTCGCCCTGGTGCAGCTGCCCCCTCATTGATGTCTCTTCCTGTCTATGTGCACATCTGTCTTTCCCACGAGAATTTAGGGTTCTTGAGGAAGTGGACCTTACATTGCTGGTTTGCAACGGTAAACCCTGGCAAACTGTGGCCTCAAGTACTTGTTTGGGAATGGAATAATGGCTACCTTCAAAAATTCCTATAGGGCTTATTTTTGCTGTTATCTAAGCATTGAAAGCTTATTCTTAACAAGATATATGTCTAATATTAGGAAACTTTTCAGTATATGGGGTACTAATAAGATTCTCTTCATTTTCAGAGCCAATATTGACAAAACACCCTTATCAGTCAGTCCATTTTTATTTGGAAAAATAGTTTTAAATAGTTAATAAATTTTTTTTCAGATGACTTTTACGCGACCTGCCAATCACAGACAACTCACTTTTGAAGAAATTGCCAAAAGTGCTAAAATCACCGTGAATGAGGTATGGTCCCTAGGCTCAGGATGTTACCGCAGCAAAGCTGCCACCTGGAGTCAAGGCTCTGTGTGAGCACTGCGCTCCCTAGACAGTGAAAAACGGCGGGAGAAGCAGTATCCGCATTTCAGACACCACCTGGGTCCGTGGGTGTGTGTCAGCCATCTTGTCTCACACAAGCCTGCTCTCTGCACAGGTGGAGCTCCTGGTGATGAAGGCCCTTTCGGTGGGGCTGGTGAAAGGCAGTATAGACGAGGTGGACAAACGAGTCCACATGACCTGGGTGCAGCCCCGAGTGTTGGATTTGCAACAGGTGATGTGATTGAGACCCATTCACCTCTGTGGGTGTTTTGGGGTTGTATCTATACTGTCTTAGTTTCATTTGGATGGAAGCCATTTAGGAAGAAAGCATTAGACAAGAGGTTTTGGAGAATGAATTACTGCTATTGGATTTTCCTAAGAGCCTAATTTAATGCAAGCCTGAGATTTGAACCCTGCATTTAAAAGCTTATTATGACAATATGCTGGCTGTGCTCATGCTGCCTTTTAATCTTGAGATAGGTGCTCCAATCAGATCCATTCCTGGTTCTGTGATTTGCGCTCACATCCATCTTACTCACATTTGCTGGAAATGTAATCCTGTGGATTTCCTCAATTCTTGTCTGCTTTCTTTCATGCAAGTTTTTTCTAATGTCCTTGTGATAAGAATCAACCCGGGCAGTCTTGTCACACTGCCTAGCTGAGAGACCCTTTTTATTAGAGCCGCCCTAGAGAGTTAGCTCTCATCAGGTGCTGTGGTGTTGGCCACTTGGCCTGTGACCCCTGAGTGTCTTAATGCCCCTTGTGTATGGATTTGCATTTCAGATCAAGGGAATGAAGGACCGCCTAGAGTTCTGGTGCACGGATGTGAAGAGCATGGAGATGCTGGTAGAGCACCAGGCCCATGACATCCTCACCTAGGGCCCCTGAGGTCCACCTGTTGTCCCCTTCAAGTCACCTGAGAGAGGCATTCCTCCAGCCGATAAAGCTGGCTGTCAGATGGTCTACATTGAACTGGGGTAGGGGTTGGGACCCTGTCTGAAGGACGGACTTTTCTTGCTATAAAAACAGGACTGTCCCTGATGGGGGCCAGGCCGCAGGCAGAAAGCTCCTTTGTGGGTCTCTCCTGCAGCGGGTGGGGGTCTCTGAGTTTTAGGTCACAAGGGAGAGAAACTGCGTACGAGGCAGGAAGTGCCCTCAAGTCTGTGCTCCGAGCTTGAGCTCCGCTCCCCGTCCACCTCTGCGGACATCTTTGCCATTGTGGTGTGAGAATATTCCTGTAATAAACACCTTTGCTTTGTTCTTCTCATGGCTCTGTTTTCCTGGCTTAGCTTCCAGGCCAAGCCTGTGCCTGGAGTTGGAACCTTGGGAGGATTTGGTGGGGGTAGCCTTGGCCTTCTCCTTCCTGCACATACAGGAGACTAGGGCAGAACCCAGCCCCAAGGGCCACCAAGGAAGCTGGTCCGATCTTTATTGTTAGAGAGACCCAGGGGTGTCCGCCCCCTTCTCCAGCCCTCTCAGGTGCCTGCCCCAACTCAGGCATCCGCATCCTTATCACTGCTCATCACTCAAATAGCCAGCGGCATCTGTGACCTGGTATGCACCGGTGCTGACATGAGCCATCCCTGGGACTGGGCATGTAAGGTGCCCCTTCTGAGAGTGGAGGTGCACGTATACAAAGGAATCAGGGTGAACGGTAGGTGGAAGGACAGTTTAATGCTGCCTTTCAGTCCTGCGCCTGCGGTGACACTAGAGCCTTTATGCTGTGGGGCGCTTCTTGTAGTTTTCCAAGTGGCTTAAGATCCAGCCTGCAGGACCCAGGAAGGTGATGAGTATGAATGAGAGCCCCACGGCCTGCTCCTGATGGAGAAAGCACACACGCGGTCACGAGGCTGGTAGAGGGCTCAGGCCTGGACCCCTAAGGGTGGTTGCCTGCCTGCCCTCTGTCCCTTGGGTCCTGCAGTTTGGGATTTGGGAGAAAGACTGCCCCTGGCCCCTCCCACCCCTAGCCATGGTATCTCTGTCTGCCTTCAAATTTCTTTGTAGTTGTGAGCAGTGAGAAACCCCTGCCGTCAACATGGCTGGCAGCCTCTAGCCTTCATCAGGGAGGACGACCTCTGAGGGACCAGGAGCCTTGGGCTTCCGTCTGTGGGGCTGGACATCCCTCTGCCCGAGAGCCTGCCTGGCTACGTGTACCTTCTGGCAAGGCCACAGTTCATGCTGAGCGGGCAAGTCTCACACGATGTGCACTGAACCCAGGAAACTTCCCAGTGTATGGGGTACTAATGATGTCAGCGCTGTACAGAACAGCAGAAACAACCACAATTTTAAGGTGCATGCGAACAAGTGCAGGGCCCTTCCTCTAAATGGCAGTCCCGTTCAGAAGGCTGGGTCAAGTTCAGAGTCCCAGTGCTCTGCGTGTGCACATGTGCCCACGGAAGAGACCCCATGTGCACCCGTGTTCTCAGCGGCTGAACCTGGAGAGCCAGGTTCTGAGGCACCAGCCAGATTTCACCCTCACTGTTTCCTCCTGAGTCGGCCTGGGCCCAGTCCTCCCACCCTGTTTCCTAAAGCTGAATCCGATGCCAGGTGGGAGACCAAGTCTTCCTTTTGGCTTTAGCCCCAGAGGTTTAAGAGCAAATCTGGCCTAGGATGGGGACCTTAGTGTAGGGTCACGTATTAGCTGTATGACCTTGGGCAAATGACCTTCTTGACCTTGGTTTATTTCTGCTGAAAACAGAGACATTCGTACTCGACTGGAGTGGAAATAGTTAACTTAGGTTTCAGTTTTCACCTGGTGCTTTCACATGACCCTAAAGCAGCCCCCCTTTTCCTTTTTAAGGAGGTGAAGCCAATGGGTTCACCAAGCCTCCAAGCTCAGCCTAGTACCCATCTTTGGCCAGGTGATCTGAGCCTCAGAACTGGGAGCCCCCTCCCCAGTGTTGACTCTGCTGCCCGTTTGGAAGCCTGGCCTACAGGTGATGGTTGCAAGGACCCCCTTCCTGGCTTGCAGACACCGTCATAGGCATGGCACTGCGGGACTAAGGCCCAGGGCTATGATCACCCCTCCCTTTCTCCAGCCTGGACTTCTGTGTCACCTTGAAACCCAGGGAATGGGCTGAGTTCTCAGGGCTGCCCACTGCTACCTTGGAGGTCACTTACCGCAGGAGAGGTGGGTGTTTCGGCCGGCTTGGCAGAGACGTGGGCCTTGGGGACTGCCCAACACCTCAGGGGGGCTTGGAGCAGCCTGAGGGCAGGGCGCAGCCTCAGCATGGTTCTGGGGTCGAGCTCCTTCCTGAGTTCCAACTGGGTTTCCCCAGCGTGTCCTTCTCTCCGTGTGTCCTCTGCTTGCTTGGGTGTTAGGGCTTTTTATAGCTGAAGGGGGAGCTGCAGCTGTCCCCTCCTGTCACAGGGCTTTGCAGAAAGGACACCTGCTGGAACTGGAAGAGAACCAGCCTCAGACCAGCAGCCCCAGCCTGGCACTCCCTGATGTGACTTCAAGTACGCACTCGCAGTGTGTGGAGCTGTGACTCCCTTTGGAAAGGTGTCATTTCTTCGTGAAAAACGACCTCCACAAAGGAGCAGGGCGAGGGTTTGAGAATGCAAGAGGGAAAAGTGACGTGCTTTTGAAGTAAGCCCTAAATATCTGGGGTGTCAGCCGTGCAGTACCATGTAGCGCTCTTATAAAATTCTCACATTTTGGGATTCCTGGGTGAGCTGCTGAACCTTCTCAAGTGATATGTTACCACGGAGAGGCCCCGAGTTGGGGGCCCAGCTCCACTCGGCTCAGCTCGTGCTGTCTGAGGAGGCAGCCTGTTCCTCTGAGAATGCCGGGCTGCCTTTTGAGTGCTGGCTGTGGGCAGGGAGTTCTGTCTGACCCCGGGTTCCTTCCCTTGGGGCCCACAGTCTCCCAGCTTCTTCTGCAGATACTGAGTGGTTCATTCCTTCCCACAGCAAACACTTATTAATAAAATTGTTTCCCTGCTCTCTGGGAGACAATTTCACCCACACCTTTTCTCGGTGCAAACTCACCCGCTGGGAGGGCCTGTGTGCGCTGCCCCAGGCAGCCTGTGCCCCATGCCCCCAAGGCCTCTGTCCCACCACATGCAAAGGCCAAGTCTCTGGCGTCTTCTCCAGCCTTTTTCTCTTTGGCTGCTGGACTGTGAGCTCCTGTTTTTTTTCACCTCATCCAGGCCCTGCCTGACCTCATGGCCCCAGACCCCTCTCAGTCTTTCCACCCACCCTCTCCAGACCTCATCTGGCTCTGGTCCGCTTGGCCCAACACGCAGCTGCTCCTTATCAGTCACAATCGCTGGGATCTGTTGACCACTAGCCTCTATCCCCACCTCGTGGTCAAGTTCCCAAGGCCTTGTGGTGCCTCCTTCAACCTTCTGCAGCCCCTCCCAGCTGCTCAGGCCAAATGTCAGTGTGAGCCTCCATTTCCCTCAGGCACTCACATGGACTTCCATTTCCCACAAGCAGCCCATGGACTCCTCACCCTCCCCAAGTCCGGCCTCAAACATGTCTCCACAACTGCTCCTCCACACAGCAGCCCCATTGTCTACAGCAGTCAGTTTCCTCCAGCAGGCTCCACTCACCACCAAGGCCTGAGTGCTCTGACCATGCCTGCCTTGCTGGTCCTGCTCCTCCCCTCATCTGCTCTCCCTGCGCCCCCACGAACCTCCTGCCTCATCCCAAACAGGATCTGATCACAGCCCAGAGAGACACAATCCCGAATGTTATCTCCAGCAGTGCTGGGCCCCTGACACCAGCCTCAGGCTGTGGGGGGCTCTGCCCCTCCTCTGTAATAATCCCTTCCGCCTGAACCTTTAATTATAGCTTTGGAGTCCAGTTCTGGATAAGGCTGTGGACCTGAGTGCTTGTTCAAGGGTCACTGTCCCAGCCTATGGTGTTTCATCTTTCACGGATAAGAACTAGCTGCACCACCACCCAGGCTTGCCCCTGAGGGAGGCCTCCACCTCTGCCCCTTTTGGGCTTCAGTGGAGTGGGGGTGCAGGTGGTGCGTGCGGGTGGGGAGTGGAGAGGCCCACTGTGCTGCAGGATATGAGGCTTGCAAACAAGCCGCCAGCCGGCCCAGCCTCACAGTGGGTGAGGCTCCCGGTGAAAGGAGAGAGGAGGGAGCTGGCAGGGGTGGGAGCAGCGATGCCTGGAGGAGACACTGCCCTCCAGGAGAGGCTCTGCAGGCCTCCCTCAAGCCCAGAGGGCCACGCCAGCCACAGCCTTCAGCCCTTCCCATCTGCCCCTCACCGGTCTTACGGCCCTTCTGACCTTGCCAAGCACAAACCTGTCCCCCTCCCTTTGCGCTCACGCCGCTTCTGCTTCCGGGGCCCCACCTGCAGCAGTGAGCTTCGGTCCGTATCCCAGCCTTGTCGTTAGTCCCCAGCTTGAACCACTTGTTCAAACCAAACCCTGTGGCTAAAGACCCCTGAGGCCCCCGCCCACAGCAAGGCTGCCCAAGATGGCCTCTCCTCTTACCACCCTGAGGCCTAGACCCTCTCCCCCGCCACCCCCAGGTCTCCCGTTTAATAGAAGGAGAACAATGTGACCCACAGAGAACAAGACGGTGGCCAAGTGGGGGTGCAGGAAAGAGATTACCGAGGCTTGGAGAGCATTCAGGGTTCTGGACTCAGGATCTGCCAGACCCACCCTGGCCCATCCTGGACAGGGGCAGCATCAGAAGGTGCACTCAAGGCCACGGATGGCCAAAAGTAGTCCCGCTGCCTGCACCTTCACCCTCACCCTCTTCAGCCACTCAGCACAAACCTATCAACCTTGCCCTGGACATACCCCTAATGCCCCTGGGATGTGGGAGAGAGACCAGCCATGGTGCACACCCTCCCGGAAAGCTGCAAGGCCAGCTCAGCCGGCAGGACCACCTGGAAGGTCCGGTGGACACCTGTGGGCACATGGCACCACCCTGTGTCCAGACTTGGAACCACAGAAGCTGCTGGAGGAGGCACAGGTGAGGGCACAGCCCTCTTCCATGGAGCTCTTCGAATCGGAGACCCAGGAAGAGCACACATGCGTGAAAACATTTGCATGATCCTTTTTTACTGCATTAGAAATCTATTTCTTCACATAAAATAGCGGTTCTTTTTTTTTTTTTTTTTTT